CACACACACACACACACACACACACACACACACACACACACACACACACACACACACGCACACACCACCTGCTGTGTGATGGTATGTGAAAGCTGTAGATTGTAAATTATTACTAGTAAACACCCACTAAACCAGTAAACAACAAAATATCATCATTAACTGGGATTTTCTAAAATTCAACTGTTGGTCATTTTTTCATAGTCATTTGAATTCCTAGAAGTGTGTTCTTTTCATTTTTTTTCTTATTTTAAAGGAAAACTTTAGCTGAGATTTTAGTTACAGTTAACTCACCAGTTTGTTAAAATGGTAATTTTGTGGATTTAAAGGAATATTTCAGTGTAAATCATTCCCTACTGGCTGTAGCTCTTTGAACAACTTAGTTTGGGCACAGTTTAATTCTGAGYGGACTGATGAGCTATTTAAAAGTAGTATCTCACTGGTCTGTTGGTGAACTACATTCTGGAAGAAGTTTCCAAAAAGTCTAAACAGTCTGTATGCTCAGCACACRTGTTTGGGTTTAGGTTAGCGCGAACACAAAAGGTTGATTCTCAGTTTGTGTCATGATCTGTGTGTCTTTGCTTTAGTTTTCTAGTGTTTCAGTGTTCCCCTGTGTATCTCTGCCCTGCTCCAGCCCCACCCATGCTCACCTGTTTCCTCTTGTGTTTCCTCCAGGTGTTTCTTGTTGTCCTTAGTTAGTTTGCCTTTATATTCTGTGTCCTGTCTTCTGTGTTTGTCTGTTCATTGTATTGTGCTTACCAGCCAGTGTGGTGTGTTCTTCGTGTTATCTCCTGAGCTTCCAAGTGAGATTCGTTTTTGTTCTTTATTAAAGCCTTTTTTCGCCTTTTGCCTGCACCCTGGGTTTGTCCTGCCTGCCACCTGATAGTTTGCAGTAATGTTTTGGCTTCATGACTTTTGAGAAAAAGGAGGCATGCTAATCAGATGAAACACCTCAACTGACTCCTCTCGATGGAGGAGCAGCAGCAGCTCTACTCTGAACTCCCCCTGGATGATGGAGCTCCTCACCTCATCTCTAAAGCTTAGCCCGGCCACCCTGCTTGTACCCAGGATCTGGTTCTTTCGGTCATGATCCACGTCTCATGACCACAGGTGATGCTTGGAACGTAAACAGACCAATAAATCCAGAGCTTTGTCTTTCAACTCAATTTTTTCTTCACCACGACTGACCAAAGCAATGCCCTCATTACTGAGGATGAGACCCCAATCYGTCGATCCATCTCCTGCTCCATCCTACCATCACTTGTGAACAAGACACCCAGATACTTAAACTCCTCCACTTGAGACATAGACTCTCACCTGACACAGAGATTCCACCTTTTTCCAGTCAAGAACCATGGCTTCAGACTTAGAGGAACTGACTTTCATCCCAGCCGCTTCACACTCAGCACGCAGCAGAGACGAGACCCTGTGGTTCCCAAACCAGACCCCCTCCTCTCCACGACTGCACCTTGAGATCCTGACCATAAACACTACAAACAGGATTGGAGACAAGGGACAGCCCTGGTGGAGTCCAACCTCACTGAGAACAAGCTGGACTTTGGTTATACAGGGACCAGATAACTCTTGATAGCACTGAAATGTTTAACAATAAGAAAGCAGAGGTCAAGCTTATGATGGACAACGTCATAATTACAGGTAGTTTTCTTAAACATTGTCTCTGAATGTGTTCCACCCTGTTAGACCACAAATAGTTCAACATGTTCTGTAAATATTGATCAACAAGGACTTTAACTTAGAACATGTCTTTCTGCTTTTTCTTCCTAAAACTGTAATAGATTCTTTATTCACACATAATAAATGTCTGTATTACAAAAAACAAAATTTACCCATTTTTGCTGACAATGTATAGGTAGTTTAAAAAACACATAACTTTATGTGCATTTAATACACATTGTTTAGTTTGTTACACTAAACAAGTGGTGTCAGTCAAAGGTATAGACATTTATTACTGTAAATGTATTTTCTTTGAAAGTTTTTTTCACACAACTGTGACATTTTGGATTCATGAAATGGTAAACTGGATCTTAGGTAGAATTTAACCAGGCAAATGACAGAGCTCTGGAGACCTGAAGGCAACCTGCTGCATGGGTTTTGGTTTGTGGGAGGAAACACTCGGAGCACGAGGAGAACATGTAAACTCTGTATAGAACCAGGTCTGAACCAGGGATAGAACCCAGGACCTTCTTGCTGTGAGGCGTGAACGCTAACCACTGATCCATCGTGCAGCTGAATGATAAGATGTCTCCTGTTCCTGTTAGATGTGTGGTGTGGCGGTTCTGAGCTTCGGTGTGTACCTGACAGTAAACGTCAAGATGACAGCTCTCACTCCCTCACTGGCTAACCTAAACATCTCTAACATGCTGCTGATCAGTGGCATCATCATCACCTGCGTGTCCTTCCTGGGATTCCTGGGAGCTCTGAAAGAAAACCGCTGCCTCCTGATGACGGTAACTCCTCCACGCACACAGCTCAAAGTCTAATGAAAGATTGTTGTTAGTGTTAACACTGCCTCGCGTCGCATCCAAACCAGGTACAGATCCTTTTGAAAGTGTTTTTCTAACATTCATCTAAATGTKAGTTTGGTGAGTTTTATAAAGTAAAAGATGTTGAGTTTAATCTATGACTCACTGGACATCAAGTTAGAAAAAAACTTATCCATTTGTATTGAATTATTATATTGGTACTCTAAGAGTAAAACTAAAACTGTGTTGTCAGTTTTTTCTGCTGCTCTTCCTTCTGATGCTGGTGGAGCTGTCTGCAGCATGCCTGATGCTCGTCTATGAGAAGAAGGTAGGTCTACATCTTCCTGAGATTTAAGAAAAAAGTCATCACTGAATATGATCTGCTCATTTCTCCTCACTGTTCAGATAAACTCTTGGATAAAAGATGATCTCAAGGAAGGGTTAGAGAAAGCAAAATTGCAGAGTGGAAATTCAACTCTTCAGAGTGACTGGGACTTTGTTCAGAACACGGTAAGAGTCAGACTGCAGCTCACATTTGGCAGGGAATCAAGTGGATATGATTTGAGTTTTTTCTGGGGTTCTCTCAGTTCGACTGCTGTGGAGTCAATAACGTCACAGACTGGGGAAATAAGGTGCCTGAATCCTGTTGCCAGGGCCCATGTGATACCCCTGGCGGCTCGTACAAGACCCAGGTAGACAATCTGCCTCAGAAAAAGTTTTAAAAAAGCTTTATTGCTGTTGTTTTGCAGAATCAACCTTTTTTTGTTGTTTCAGGGTTGTTTGTTTGCACTTAACAACTGGTTTGAGGAGAATTTTCTGAATATTGGCATATCTGTCATCGTTCTCTGTATAATTGAGGTGAGTTCAAGGTGGAGGTAGGAAATATGAAACACACAAAAGCTAATTGCTCCACTCATTTCATTTAGAGCCCAGATGTCAAATAGATCCTGGATTTGCAGGTCGAGGGTCTCGTGTTAAAACATTAAAAACTGATGGTGGTCTAATACGTACGACAGGAGAAACAGTTTAGGCTCAGAGAGCACATTGGGTCACATTGTAAATACTGTGTTGACGAAATGCCACCAGACTAAACAAATGTCAGGACCACCATCCTGCATGTTTTTGTTTCCCTTCTCTTCAAGTTCTGAAGCCTGTTAATCACTCATTTATTCAAATTCAGTTGAACTAAGTGACAATAAACTCTCTGGTTTTTATAATGTAAATGTTCTTGTATAATTAGTAAAAGTTATCAGTCTAAAGAAGCAGCAGATTGTGTTGAACCACTTCATTAGTCTCCATCCTGAGCACTACATGGTGAGAGCTCCCTTTTAACATGAAGAAACCTCCAGCAGAACCAGAACCAGGCTCAGGACGAGCAGCCACACAGATCTGACAGATCAGGTGTTTCAAAGCAGAGAAGCAGGGAAACAACTTTTAGGATAGTGGTCCTGAAGGACCAGGGTTTAGATCCTCTGCAGCAGAGGTTTAATATTAATGTAGTCTTCTTTGACATCTGCTGTTTTTGAGAAAGCTGTTTTAAAAGCTTGGAAAAAATAAAAATCCAGGCTCTCCTGGAAGAAGACTGTCGCGTGTGTATTAGGTTAGTGACTGCTGCTACGGCTGAGAAATCACTATTTATTATTCAATAAAAATCTTTTCAAAGATAACCAGCCACCATTTTCAGGTAAAAGTACATCAGTTTATTTAGAGTCCAAGCAGTTTTTGCAGTCCTAAAACTCAGTTTCCCAAACATCAGTTTTTAACCCTTTCCATTCAGCTGTTGTTACTGATGTGACCCTGCACTGAAGGTGTTAAATCAAAATTCTGCTTGTTCATATTCACTTCTCATTTCTTCAGTAACTTTTCATAGAACGTCTGAACTGAACTGAATTTGAACTGGTCAAATTATCGTTTTAAGATGTTGGCTTTACTTTCAGATAGAGGCCACACTTTTGCTTTTTACCTCTTTGGTTTGAAAAGCAGATGAAAGCAGCTGATTTGAAATGTGGATTTCCTGTATTCTTTGCCCTCAGGTGTTGGGGATGTGTTTTGCCATGACGCTGTACTGTCACATCAGCAGAGCTGGACTGGGCTACAAGTTATAGATTCTCTACACCTTTCATCTGGCTCTGGGTTCAAACTGTTGTACAGGTTTACAAAATAAAGGCCCCCCACAGAGCCCCCCCCCCCCCCATTGCCTGGGAAAAAAACCTGAAACCTTCAAAATCACAACTAGTTTTTCACACATTTAAGTTATGAATTGCTTTTCATGTAAACACTTTCTTAACGTTTTGTAAATGTTGCTGCTTGTCAAGTTTTTTCATTTTGTTGCCTGTTTCTACTACAATATATATTTCTGAAAATCAACTGCCTGTAAAGAATCATTTAAAGTTAAAATTGCACTAATAGTTTACAGAATAAACTGCGCAACAGTTTATAGCCCTCCATGCTGTCATTTGATCATTTCCTGTTTGCAGGGTTCTGTGGTACAGCCTTAAGAAAAAAAAAAAACACTTCCTCTTTCGATGCATCAGAATGGAATGAAAAAGTTTGAATTCAAAGCAGGAAGAAAAGAGTTGATCCAACAAGTTAAAAACCACAAACACCACAGATTAATTTATTTATTTCAAGAATAAATCCTGCATCAAATATCTTCGAGCCAGAGGGGAAAAAAAAACTAGGATTTTTACAACTTAAAATTATTTTGTTCTTTTTAAAACTGTCACATACAAAATAGAAACAAATACAATTTTGTAATTAAAAAAATGTAACTGTACACAGCAGAATACACCGTTTATTGCAAACTTGAACACCCCTGACACCGCAAAAACTATCAACAATAGCATCGCAAATTCACCTACAGATATGAAAAGACAAGAGAGAAACTATTCTGATCCAGCTGCAAAACTAATAGCTGGGTGAAGTTTGGTCCCACCCGCCCCCTCCTCAAGGCTCTGCCTCGTATGAGGCGTGAAAATGCTCAGGTCCGTTTTGACAATAGTGGTCCTGGAACTGTGGCCCTGTCGCTGGGAGACTGAGCCTGAATCATTCAACAAGCAAAAGTCACCTTCAGAGTCCCTTTGAGTGGAGAAGAACCAGRCCGTCTTAAAGCACTCCTCACTGAAACAGTGGTTTTTATAATTTAAAGAAAGGACACATTGCTGGAAGGTTAAAAAGCAGTTTAAAAATATCTCATTCAGCAGCTCGGCTTGTTCAGAAACATTAATTATGCTGCCTGCAACATCAATGACTTCTACAGTTTCTAAATGTTCCTCCCAACAGGAGCTAATGTAGTGAAACCTGTGAAAATAGATTGTGCTGAGGACGATCAGAGGAAAGTTCCTCCTGCAGGAGACAGCCTTCTGAAGCAGACAGCACTGTGCCTTTCAGAGACCGTTCATCCACAGGCACAAGAAATATAAGAAACAAGTTCACCTCAGCCTGAACTGCAAGCCTCCAACAGAACCGGGCCGAGCAGGAAGAGTTAGGGTACCCAGCCCCTAAACTCAGAACATTAAAACATCAAACTGAGCTCAGTTTGTTGGTGACGGTCAGAAACATCCTCCCTGCAGCTGCTGACAGATCCTTGTTGTTTTCAGGTGTTGGACAAACACCAGAACCCAAAACATTCGTTTCTGGGTTACATCAGTTTTAAAATCACAGAACATAATGTTTGATTCAGACAGGGCCCAGGGTGAGGTTTTCAGACAGAACTGTAAAACAGCTGACATTTGGATTCTGAAAACAAAAACCATCGTTCTGCAGCCCTGCGACACATAGCGACCTCAGGCTGTAGCTGACTCTGTGATCCTGCAGGGGGCACTGCAGACCTGTGGAGGACACAGCACCTGACCCACATCCAAGGCACAGGGACAGAAACATGAAGAGTCTGAACTGATTAGAGTTCAGACTCACGCAGCTTTATTTGGGTTTTACATAACCGCTCAGATGGTTCTGCTCAGAGCTCAAGGTGGAATCTCAATGGGCAGGACTAGTCAGGAACACAAGGGAGTCTCCAGCAAGTGTTGAAGACTGTGTGTGTGTGTGTGTGTGTGTGGGGGGGTGTGTGTGTGTGTGTGTGTGTGTGTGTGTGTGTGTGTGTGTGGGGGGGGGGGTCTTAGTTTTTTAGTAGACAAACTTTGAAAACAAGAGTTTTTTTTTTTCAAACAAACTTTAATTCAGGCACAAACGTCTCCAACATGTCTGCATTCTGACGCCTGCAGAGATCTGCTCTGAGTAAATCTGAGGTCCAGGTCTGATTAAAAACCTGGTCCAAGTCTGTCTTCATTTCTAAAGTGTACTCCAGTAAATTAAATCATAAAGGGTAATAAGCCCAGGTGATATTAACTGGATGAAAACAGACCAGTAGCAGAACGTAGCAGCCTAAAGGAATTGTGAGTAAAACCTTAAGGATGTCCTTGATGTAAACAAGTCCTGTTTTATGCTTCCACACTAACAGAAGGCTGTTTGCGTGAGGACACAGAACCTCCAACCCATTTTGTTCTGTGTTGAGTAAATACCTGGTCCAGGTAGTTAACCGGCAACAAGGCGAGCTCCGCTGAGAACACTTCAGAACCAATCTGCAGCCACGACACAACCCTCAGCACAGCAGCGCCAGCGTCCTTACAAGGTTCAAAAAACCCTAAGTTGTTTATCATGTTTTCCTGTAGCAGGCTGAGTGCAATCCTGAACATCTCCTGCTGTCAGCATGAAGTCAGTAAYTAGCTGTAAATAAACAGATGTAGAAACTGATCAACACGACCTCTACATTCATTACTTTAAACGTTTCAAATCAAACCTGAAAAATCAGGTCGCAGCTCATCAACTTTCTGTTCTCCAACTCACCAAAGAAACAGAAGAGATCAAAACTGAACACACGCAGGTTCTGACCTTCAGCTTCCTGTAAACAACACGACTGTCCTCAAACACTGATCTGCAGAGCAGACTGACTCCAGAGACGTCCACTGGTGAACTGATGGCTTCAGCACCATCACAGCACGTCTGAACATGAGACAAATATTGACCGAGGCTGATAAATGTGACCAGCTTTGAGAAAAATATTAGAAATGTTCCATATCTGAAGCCACGTTGGTGCTGTATCAGACTTCCTACATGATCAGATCCTTTAGACCAAATGCTTCAGGCTGGCAGTTTGTGGATACAACAGTAATCAGTAATCTAAAACATGATTCTGTTAACAGAAACTGACGGATAGCTTCAGGTTCCTTTTTGTTAACTGGGAAGTCTTTGAAGCTAGAAGCACCTTTGCAAAGAAAAAGGAGTTTGAGTGCGTTTTTAGGGCTAGACCAATGAATTGTGAGACAATTTGACTCCAATGGCTGTTTCTAAAGCCAGTACAGGGAAAGTTGACTGCAGTCATGGTAAACTTCAGTTTGTTCAGGTGCTAAACAAACTTTGGGCTGGGCTCTCAGAGCTGACTGCAGAATAGCATTCATGAGGAAGTCTCCAAAATGTCTGCAAACATTTGCAGTGGTTCTGAAAACAAGGTGAACGTCAGAAGCAGACGACAGATTACATTTCAAGGTAAAAATTGTCTCAGTTCAGTAGAATTTGATTGACACTATTTAAACTCAATATTGTAAATTAAAGGATTACATGATGTGAATGTGATACCGCAGCACTGATCCACACCTGATGCCGTGATAAAAGTCTAACATTAACAAGTAATAAAAAGCTCATTGCATCATTACTGCAAACTTGGTCTTAAAGGGATCCCCGATTAGTTGTAACATTAGACTTTATTTGATAAACATATATTTTAACTGTAAAATTAAGACTGTAAAAATGCTGTAGGATGTTCAGTTTTTTATAAATTTTAAACTAAAAGTTTAAAAATATATTACAGGAACGGGTCCATTTTATTTACATGCAAAGCATTCTGGGTAAATGATGACATGGATAGRTCCTTGGTGAAAGGCTGCTAGCGAGCTATATCCACCCTGAAGGTTAATCTTGGACAATATCTGATGATCGACTCTTTTAAATGAAACCAGAGAGCGTTGACAGAGAGGAGAAGGTAGAAATGACTCAGCCTGTAACTGAAAATATGGATGGAGGACCTCAGTTTAGCTTGTTAGTTTGTTGTGCTAGCACAGAGCTAATACATATAAGGCAATATAGCCTCAGCCTTATTCCTTGAAGCAGCTCTGTTGTCCTCCATCCATATTTTCAGTTACAGGCTGAGTCATTTCTACCTTCTCCTCTCTGTCAACGCTCTCTGGTTTCATTTAAAAGAGTCGATCATCAGATATTGTCCAAGATTAACCTTCAGGGTGGATATAGCTCGCTAGCAGCCTCACACTGAGGACCTATCCACATCATCAGTTACCCAGAATGCTTTGTGAGTAAATAAAATGGCTCCGTCCATGTTAAAATATTTTTAAAAAAATTACAAAACTAAACAGCCTACAATATTTTTACAGTCTTTATTTTACAGTTAAAATATATGTTTATCAAATAAAGTCTAATGTTACAACTAATCAGGGATCCCTTTAAACTACAGGTTGTTTTAGTTTAAATACAGTGATTTATCAGCTGACAGTTTGTAAATTCTCTGTATCTACTCCCTGTTCCTGACCAAGTCTCAGCATTTGTATGTTTTAAGTGGAAATATGGACTTTCAGAATCTTTAAATGACTTTTGGTAACATCTCTGGCTTCATGTGTCGAAGCTGTTTTTATGTTGTTAAACTTGATAACAGGCGTACACTTCTGATCTGGTGGTCTGAACAGCTTTTTACAGCTGAACAACTGGTTTCATGTTTTGGCTGTCTGACTTTACTGCTGAAAACAGGTAACACAATATTTACTGAAAAAAAAAGAAAGAAAATGTGCAAAACTACATCCTTTCCTCCACAGAAGCCCACCTCCCTGGGAATCAGAGAGTCAAGCTGTCTGATGGATGTTTGATCTGTTCACACATTTCATCCAGGTGGGCTTCTCTCCTCTGACAGACAGCAGTTTGTCACTTGTTGGAAGAAAAACGAGGTCCATTATTAGACTGTACCGAGTGTTACCATACTTCTACAGTTTGTTACTGTGTGCTGCTCCTGGGCTCTGCAGGGTTGATAGTCAGTGGGAGGGGGTCAGGGTTTTCCATGGCAGCTGGCTGCAGTTCTGGACATGTTGACAGCCTCAGGGCCAGCTCTATGAGGGGCTTAAAGGGGCATCAGCCGGGTGGTTTGGAATAAAACAGGGTTGAGGTCCTCGGCGTGGACGGCCCGGTGGAGAGACGGCTCTGAGCGACTGCGCTCAATTTTTGGCATCAGGTCTTGCACCTGCTCAATGGCTACGAGGATCTGAGAGATGAGAAGCAGAAACAGGAATGTTAGGCTGACTGGATGAAATAAATTATTCTCTCTCTCTGATATTGAGCTAAACTTTGATGATGTGTTTGATATGGTTGCTTAGCTGTGGCAGCCACTTTGAATTGGATTGACTCCAAAGGTGAAGAGTTGTAGATATAAATCTAATGATTTACTACTAATTTTATCATGAGATAATTGAACTAAACAGACAGATGAACACAACACAGACCAGACCAATTTCATAATAAACACAAATGACAAAAATAAATAAATAAACTGTAGCAGAAACTCATGAATCAAAGTATTTTTGGTTGAAGTATTCAAATATTGATAATAGACCAATTGTTTTTATCCAGATCTAACTGCTTTTTTGTCAAATAGCAAAACCATCCTTAGCGGTCAGTGTAATGACCCAAAATTTGGAGTTTTAGGACCCACAGTGGGGTCGTAACACCAGTTTGCTGTAGATGAAACCTTAAGCCCCTGTGACATCAAAATTTGTAGGAACAGTTAATGCATTTTTGAAATGACAACATTATTAACTAATTACAAAACAAATTTCACATTGCTCAGATGAACAGTTGTTGAGATATTTGCATCTAAGTAACAGGAAGTGATGTCAAAGGAGAATGTATGCATGTAAATATTTTAAAAAATAAATAAACGTTATCAATTATTTTAATATTTGAGATGAATTACAATCATCCTATTTACAATGTGTTAGCATTTTTTAGACTTCCGAAAGACTGATTTAATACATTTTAAGGCTAATTAAGGCCTTATTTTTGGATTAATGAATTCAATGCCTTAAGACTTTTTAATASGGATGCACCGATACCAGATTTTTGAAAACCGAGTACGAGTACTTACATTAAAGTACTTGCCGATACCAAGTACCGATACAAGTACTAATTAATATCCTTAAACATCCTTATAATTAACTTAAACTGTTTATTTTCATTAGGCACTTCAAACATAAATAAACAAAGTACATTACTATTGGTTTAAAACCATTTTACTGTCATATAACCATACTATGACAGCATGTACAAAAAAATAAATAAATTAACCTAATACACCTAAAAGAGACTTCCAGTTGATTTATTTTTTTTCCATCTTCATCGTAGATGTAAAAATTTTAATGATCGGCTCAAGTTATCTAAAATGTGTTACAGGGCCCTCACTGAATATTAGAGCATTGTACCATCAACTATATAAATAAACTGAACTAAATAAACTTTGTAGTATGTTAAAATAATTGCAATTAAGTAATAAATGTTTAATTTGTAACATGTTGTAGCTTGGTCATAATGATTTTTCCTCCATCAGATTACTTGGCAAATAAACGTTTATAAAAATAAAAAATATTTTTAGGCAAATCAAGGCTTATATTATTATTTTTAATCATTTTTATTTATTTAATTTACCTTGGATCACCTGACTTCATTGTTTTGATCCTGTGATCTTCACCAGTGTCTTTGTTTAGGAGTCTCAGAAGCACGGTCACAGCAGGGATGACGTCTTACTACTGTCACCTGAAAATACCTCCACACCGCTGACATAACGCCTCCTCTACAAACTGCTTGCTTGTTAAAGTTTGTTCAGCTCGGCTAACGTGGTCGTCGTCTTCTTCTTCTGTTTTTTTTATGCGGCTGGCATTAAGTCTGTTGCGCGATTCCGCCGCCTGCTGGTTTAGAGCGTCTATGCACAAACTGAGCGAAAAGAAGCTGGTATCGGGTCCTGTAGTATTGGAGCACTTTTACAAGTACGAGTACGAGTTAACGCACATAGTATCGGACCGATACCCGATACTAGTATCGGACCGATACCCGATACTGGTATCGGTATCGGTGCATCCCTACTTTTTAAGGATCTGCAGTAACCCTGACAGACTCAGGTCTATGTTTGCCTTGATGATCACATTACAACAAGGCTGACGGAGCTACCTGCATATYTGGATACAGTGGTACCTTTACTCCACCCACCTGTGGAAACAGCGGCCTCTCGTCCCGTTTGTACTTCAGACAGTCAATGATGAGACGTTTCATTGACTTGGGTGAGGTGCTGTACAGTTTACTGAGGTCTGGAGACAAAAACCCACGTCCGACCATGAAGATGATCTGAAGAGGGAAACGAGGGGAAGAGGGTTACAGAGCGCAGGTGCACTCAACAACCTGAAACAGTATTTGACACAACACTGAAAATGTATCCTATTTATATTCAAATGTTATATTTACAAAACAGTGAGGACTAAACTCGTTAACATAGTTAGATGAAAGTCCCAACATTCTTATGCTACGTTCACACCGAATGCGTTTTGAGCAGCAAAAAAACGCCCAACGCCTCCAGTTATACGCACTATGTTCAGACCTGGGCAGAGACTGAAGAAGAAGACTGAAGACTGAGTCTGAAGAGGGAGGAGCGTCTTGTTTTTTCCGGTCTGTCTTCGGCGGATGAAATAAAGGTAAAATAAAGAAAATGGCTTTTATTATTTACTAAAGAGCAAGCCAATGTTGCGCACACCAGAAAATTAAAGCACCAGATGATTTAGAGGCGGTTTATTCGGTTAGTTTCACCACTCCAGGAGCTGCGAGCTGACCAACTACTTTTTTGTCCCGAGCCCAGATAAACACCACGGTCAGTTTAACGACATGCTGACCCACATCGGTGCTGGTATCTCCAGCCAGAACACCAACTGCAGATGGTTGATTTCAGCTAAAGAGCTCCTGTCTGTCTGTTTCGGTTTAGTGGGCAACATTCAGGAAACTGTCACTAGGGATGGGTACCAATTTGATACTTTTTTTTTAGTACCGACCGAATTCCGTCGGTACTACCGAGAACCTATTCACGTCACATCAAACGATACCAAGTTTCGGTACCTAAACACATCATTGCGACCGTATTGGGGTAAGAGTGGGAGATTTTCCATGCTTGTCTTGAACGCAGCATCGCACAAGAGCGTAATGCAGCAGCCGCTGGTTCAGTAAACAGAGTTCAGTATGAATGTAGCTTGAAAGCCTCACTGCTCCTGGAGTAAAACTCACCGAACAGACCGCCTCTGAATTATCTGGTGGATTAATTATCTTGTCAGCATGACGTTTGCTTGCTCACAGTAAATAAAGTACCGCCACTTTCTTTATTTCATCCGCTATTAAACAGAGACCGGCAGAGGAAAAAAATAGAGGCGCTTCTCGACAGTCCGAACACGTCTGACATGAAAGAGCACAAGCAGCCAGCTTGAAGTGTTGGACATGTTTTGGATGCTCAAAATGTAGCTTGAATATATTTTATTCATTTTAACTCAATCCTCTTTTTGCTTATTTGGTTTAAACTTATTTGCCTTCCATGGACCTCCATCACACAATTTTTCTAACGCGAAAATGTCATCAACAGAAACACGTGGAGCTGGATATTAATTTGTGCAACAAGACAAAACAGTCTTGTTGTTTTCAAGAGTTTTCACTTTAAAGAAATTTGTTAAACAACTGATGTTACAATACAAAGAGTTGGATGTTGTCTTGATATTTGTTAATTTTATATATTGAGAAATATGTAAAAAAAAGTTTATTAAAAAAACAGTACACACAAAGTACTGAAAATTGGTAACGTTAAGTACCAGTACCAATTCCCAGGTACCGGATATTGGTACCGACTCGATTCAAATGTCAAAGGTACCCATCCCTACACTGTCACGTGGAAAAATGAGTCTCTGATTGGTTGTCAAGACGTGTAGAGGAGCGAAAGATCCGATTTTTGAACTGGGGGGTCGGCTGCTTTGGACGCACCGCATGCACGGAAAATGCTCTGCTGAACCTTCCACGTTCCTTGCGTGCCGCGCTAAACGGACCTGACGTGCCGCAAGATCCCTAGAGGAACGTCCACCATGGACTTTGCATGTAAACTAGCTGCTCTGCTGCTCAAAACGCATTCAGTGTGAATGTACCATTAAAGCATTTACAACAAAATATGGCTACTTGATCGGTGAGCTGTTTATTTATCTGACTTTAATCGTGCTCTGTGCCGTGTTCATTTTGAAGCTGCATTTCTCAGTTATTAGAGGATACCAGTGTTTGACAAATCATTTCTAATGCTTGGTAAGTGAATCAGGCTGCACAATATCAGATTGATTTATTTCCTGATCTGAGTACCTGATCTCGGTTGTTGATGTTGGAGTAAGGCAGATTTCCAGACATCAGCTCATAAAGAACCACTCCATAACCATACACATCGGACTGGAACGTATACGGGTTGCTGTCCTGCATTCGGATCACCTCCGGAGCCTTGAGGGGGAAACACGAGAAAACAAAGTTTAGAACTAAACCTTACTGCTTCGATTCAGCTGCCCCTTTACCAAACCTAACTGCTAGCACGTATTAGCTGCTTTAATACGGTACGTTCACAAACTTAAAAAAAAAACAATGAATAAAACTGTTATGGTGCTCTGCACACACCCACCTGGCACAGAGTTTTTTTTTTTTTTTTACTTTATGTTTATTGAAACTTTTTTTTTCCAAACACATACAGTACAATACACAGAACAGAAACAGACTGTCGACAAAAGAAATTATTCACATTCTAAGTAAATTGAACAGATACAGGATGAAACAGTATACTTATTTACTTTCCCAGCAGCATTTAATAAATAACAAGGAAAGAGAGACCTGATTCAGTTATTATTCTCTAAGGATCTAGTCCATTTGCTCCATCTCTTTCTATAAAGTTCAGGTTGCAGTCTCAGCATGAACGTCAACTTTTCCATTTTGTGGGTCTCTTCCACCAGTTCTAGCCAGTCTTTGAGCTGTGGTGGGTTAGGTTGAAGCCAATTCCGGGTAATCTGCTTTTTGGCTGTGGCACTAAAGATCTTTAATAAATATTTGTCATTCTCATTCAAACCCTCAGGAACAGCTCCGAGTAACAGTAACATGATGGGTTGTTGGAATTTAAGACCCAAAATTGACTCAATCTTCCCCAGAACATCCCTCCAATAAGTCTTTATCTTAATGCAGAACCAGAAAATATGGGAGTGATTTGCCTCTGTGTCCCCACATCCCCTCCAGCATTTAAAAGCATCGGGGTTTCTACAAGGCTGCTGCTTTGGGGTTCTGAAAAAACGTATCAAATTTTTCCAACTGAATTCGYGCCAATGGTTTGAAGAGGAGGTTGTAGCAGCGGATTCACACATGTTGTCCCACTGATCTTGTGATATTTCAATATTCAACTCTTTCTCCCATCTTTTCCTAACATAGTCTGTTGACTTTCCTTTGGATCTCAACAATCCCTGATAGAGTTTGGAAATAGTAATTTTACCGGGCTTGGAATAGGCCTGTGAAACCAATTGAATGATCTCATTAGAGTCTGAGATACAAGCTTTCAGTATGTTTGCAAAGATATATTGTCTAAGTTGCAAGTATCTAAAGAAGTCCCTTTTTTCTAAATHATGTTTTTTTTGTAGTGTTTGAAAGCTTGGTAGTGTATTTTTATCCAGTATCCTGCAATATGCAGTTATTCCTTTCTGTGACCAGTTTTTGAAACCAGAATCTAWTTGGTTGGGGATGAAGTCTGAGTCAAAGGCGGCCCATCTGAGGACCTGTATCTGGTTACCCAATTTAAGTTCCTTCACCACTTCAAACCAGGTCAAAAGGGTAAATGACACTARGGGATCTAATTTTTTTTGACATGCTGCTGCAAGTTTCTGATCCCCGATCAGAGCTTGTATTGGGATATTTTCACATTTGCTTTCTAATTCTTTCCATCCAGCCTCGTAAGTACAGTCACACCACTGTACCACTGTTTTGAGCTGAGCAGCGAGGTAATAATCATGAAGATTTGGGAGTGACAAACCACCTTTTTCTTTCCTAATTGTTAGAGTACTGTATTTAATTCTGGGTTTTCGTCCCTTCCAAATAAAGCGAGATATCAATTTGTCCCACTCGCAAAACTGAGAATGAGGGATTTTGATAGGCAAGGAAATAAATAGGTATAATAACCTGGGTAGTACTGACATCTTAATGATTTCAATTCTTGAATTAAAGTCAGTTATACATTCAGACCACTGTGTAAGGTCTTGTTTAATTCTAGTATTTACTGTTTCATAGTTTTTTTTATACAGGTCTTTCGGAAGGTAAGTTAACCATACGCCCAAGTATTTGATTGCTCTCTTAGACCAGTCAATAGGGATTTTATCTTTAATCTCTACCGATGGATAATAGTTAAAACTCATAATCTGTGTTTTATCCATATTTAGTCTGTATCCTGAGTAGGTGCYAAATGTATCTAGTAACTTTAAAATGGCCGGGATGGATTGCTCCGGACTCGAGAGATATAGAAGGATATCGTCAGCATATAGTGCTATTTTGTGTTCTCTTGAATTTATTACTATACCATGGATATCACTGCTCTCTCTAATTGCCTGGGCAAGAGGCTCTATGTAAAGTGCAAAAAGAGTTGGGGAGAGCGGGCAGCCTTGTCGAGTGGATCTCTCCAGCTTTATTCTGTCTGTCAAGCGTCCATTTATCTTGATCCTAGCTGTAGGTGACGCRTATAARGTTTTAATTGTATTGATTGCGGTATGTGAAAAACCAAATCGTTCCAAAACTAAGAATAAATATTGCCAATTGACACGGTCAAAAGCCTTTTCCGCATCCAAGCTCGCCATTACTGCTGTGTGTTTGTTTGTCTGTATATTCTGGATTATATGCAGTGAGCGTCTTATATTATCCTGAGTTTGTCGACCAGAGACAAACCCGGTTTGGTCCCCATCAATCAGATCTGAGACGAACGCGTTCAACCTATTGGACAGGATAGATGCATATAATTTATAATCTTGGTTAAGGATTGATATAGGTCTGTATGAGCTGCATAATRTTTTGTTTTTYCCTTCTTTTGGTAATACKGTTATAATTGCTTCAGACCATGATGGCGGTGTTGTCGTTTTCTCTAAAGTCCAATTTAATGATTTTAATAATACAGGGGATAGTTCTTCTTCAAATACCTTATACCATTCTCCTGGAAGACCATCTGTGCCAGGTGCTTTATTATTTTTCAATTTTTTTATCGCCAATTCCAGCTCTTTTCCAGTAATATGCTCAGTTAGRCTTTTATTCTGACATTCTCCAATTTTTGGCAAGTCTAATGACTTGAGAAATGATTTAACATCTTCYATTTTGCTTTGTTCTTGTTCTGCATATAACRCTTTATAATACGTTTGAAAAGCTTTATCAATGCCTTCCAAACTRTTTTCTACTATTCCTGTCTGAGGGTCAGTTATGGAACAAATTGACTGCATGATTTGTTTTTTATGGATTCTTCTTGCAAGTAATTTTGTTGCTTTTGGCCCAACTTCATAAAATGATTGTTTTAAGAATTTATATTTTTTATCTTCCTCTTTTTTATGTATATCCARAATTTTCCTCCTTATCTCTTGGATTTGTGTGTTGGTATAATCGAGTTGATTTCTGATTTGTAAGTTTTCCAAGTCTTTCAATTTAGTCTCCAGTTCGTTTAGTTCTCTTTCCTTCTCTTTCTTAATAAAAGTACTTAGTGATATGAATTTTCCTCTTATGACCGCCTTTAATGTGTCCCACAACATAATAGGATTGACTTCCCCGTTGTCATTCAGTTCTAGAAAGTTTTTTATTTCTGTTTTTATGTCTTTTATGACCTGTTTATTATTTAACAAACTTGTATTTAGCCTCCAAATGTTTTTTTTGCTCTTATGTCCAAGTTAAGTGTTAAATATACCGGCGAGTGGTCTGACAAGTTTCTGGTACCGATTTCGCAGCTTTTTAGTCTATGTCGATCATTCTTAAAAACCCAGAAAAGATCTATTCTTGAAAACACTGCATGGGGGGGGAGAGAAATAGGTAAAATCCTTGCCTGTTGGGTGCATCGCCTGCCAAGCGTCCAGTAAGCCAATATCGTCCATTCCCCTCTTTAGTAGTTTACTTTGTGGTGTACTTATTCTTTTGTTATTAGATGTGTCATTTTTATTCAAAACTGTATTAAAGTCACCTGCACAAATTAAAATACCTTGTGACTCTGATGAAATAACTTTTAACACTTTTTTCAAAAAGTGAAGGTTATAATTTGGGGGCATATAGATAGAGAGAWGGGTAACCAAATTTCCCTCAATTTTCCCTTGAACCAGTATATACCTGCCTTCACTATCTCGTATTTGTTTTATAAGATCAAAATGCAAAGAGTTATGTATTAGCACCGCCACGCCTCTCTTATGAGCCGTCTTGAAAGAACTATAAAAAACATTCCTGAATCCAAATTTTTTTAGTTTCTCATGCTCTATAGGGGRCAAATGAGTTTCTTGAAGAAGTAGGATCTGAATTTTCTCCCTTTTTATCTTAGACATTACTCTGCTCCTCTTAACTGGGTTGTTGAGACCATTAACATTCCATGAAGCTGCTCTGATATCACCATTAAACATACCTGTATGCGGATTTATACATGTCGACAGTTTGAACACGAAAACGGAAATATAAAGAACTTAACACAAACAGGTTGACTTCCAACCTCAGGGCTTCACTGAGTCCCATCATCCTACAACCTTTTTCCTTACAATGTAGGAGGAACAGCCCTACTCTRACTAGGGGCTCCTTCTCTGCCAAAGACAGAGATCCATCACCTTGGGGGGGGGTTGAAACAGGAAATATTTACCGCGTGGGATACAGATCCTCCATAATGTGTTGTTAATACTTGCATAAGGATTGAGGATCTGCTTCAGGAAAGCTGTTTATACTTGCTCTCGTTGAAATTCTCGGAGCTTCTCTCGCACACGTKTGGAGTGTGAGCTGGCCGCTTTWTTCCAGTGCACGTCCTGGTTGTTCGCTGGTTCCTCGTCTGCAGTGGCTGATCGCGGCGTGTCCACCCGGTATCCTTTCTTCCTCATGTCGTCCGCCGCTTCTGATGCATTCGCGTACAGGCGTGGTCCGTCGTCCCAGTGAATCCTCATCTTAGCCGGGTAAGGTGTTTGGAAGCGTATTTTCTCCTCTTTGAGAATCTTCTTGATGTTTCTGTATTCTTTAAGCTTATTGTTTATCTCRGTCGGTAGATCGTGCGCAAATGAGATCAATTTGCCATCATAGAAAATCTTYTTCCCCCACGCTGCTTTAAGGATTTTGTCTTTTGTGTCGTATCTGAGAAAGTTGACGAGTATGGATCTTGAAATTGATGCGTCTCGAGGTTTCGGACCCAGCGAACGATGTGCTCGTTGAATCTGCAGATCTTGGCTGATTGAGAGCTGTTCTTTCAGAAAGTTTGCAATGAACGTTTGCATGGCGTTACCTTCAGCTTCTTCTTTAATGCCGTAAATACGGATGTTGTTGCGTCGGGATCTCCCTTCTAAATCGGTGACTTTGTCCAGGAGAGTTTTCTGCTGTTTGAGGCAATAAGCTAAAGAATCTCTCAAGTCCGTGTTCACCGTTTCCAGCTCGTTCACCCGTTGTTCCGCTTCTGTTAGCCTAGCAGCTTGGTTACGAATGTCCGAGCTGACCTCCTCCACTTTCTTGTTCATTTCACTCTTAAAGCTGTATAGGTCTTGCTTGATATCATTTTTCATAGCAATGATATCATTTTGCATTTCTTTGATAGTGTTGCATAGGTTCTGAATAGCTTTAGCAGTCGTTAGCTCGCTCTCCTCGCTAGGGTCCGAGTCCTGCATCATGCTAGCTTTGTTTCCAACGTTTGTTAGATCAGCCCTTGCCTGACCGTGGCTTTTAGCACCCCCCAGTCTCTTTTTCGATCTAACTCCACGCATAATATATCATTTTGAGAAAGAACTGAACCTCTTTGTCGAGTTTTGTGGAGATTTCCTTATAGCTGATCAGGACAAATCACAGATTTAACCCGCCATCTTGGAGACGCTCCCGGAAGTCTTGGCACAGAGTTTTTAAACCATTACCAAAGTTATTTGCTTGAACACAACATTATGTCTTATTTTGTTGAAAGACTGAACTCATTCACTGATGAGCCTGATCAGCTTTAGGTGGAAGTCAAATAAAATGTTGCTCCAAGGAATGCATTTCACTCACCGCCTTTCAAGGTAGAGTTTTACACTAAGATTATCTCATGTTGAGAAATGTCAAGAGTTTTGTTTAAACCTTGAAAATAACATTGTTTATTAGATGTACAACTACAACTGATTAACATTTCAAGAAGGCTGCCACAGCTATTAGTCATCAGTCTAAAAGAAATGGTTGTACTTGCAGTCAGTTCTACAGATCCGGAGCTAAGATTTGATGTGGTAGTAGCTGAAAGTCATCCAGCATAACAAGAGCTCTCAATGCCTCTACATGGTTCATGTTAACAGTCAAAGAGCAGCTCTCATTGTTGCAGTTTCATGATGAAAATATTGTTCTTTGCTTTGAGTCTTCCACCCCTTCTTCTCCCAACCTGTAGTTGTAAGAACTTACTTTGTGATTGGTCGAAGCAAAATGCAGCGTCTGAGCACTTTCGGCATTTACACATAGCCCACAAACTTCTGGCTTCCAAAAAATAAAACCTACTCACTTCCAGAAGATGACTGTTGTACTCAGAAGTAGACATTTGTAAAGAGTCAAACGGCCAAAAACTCATGGAGGGAGATAAAACACACACTGTGCACAGAGGAATCTGTCTGATAAAAAATGTGGAGCTTTAACCTGGACAGATCTGTGGACAAATAACGTTGGGTATTAGAATTTTATTGTATTTTTTGCCCAGAGTGTAGACTCCAACAAGAAGGATCCCCATGCAGTGAGTTTTATGGCAGTGGCAGGGGCTTCCCAGGAGCACAGCTCTGAGTGACTGCACTTCGACTGTTTAGCTTTGGATGGAGTAAAATGGGCCCTTTTGTATCACAAGATTGTGATAAAGTTGATCCATCATTTTCAACATATAATCTTAGTCAAAGTCTGACATGAAAGCAATATGCATTCCTTAAGAACAGTCTTTAAATGTTCCATGTTGATGTAAAGTCTGACTTTGTAATGTATAATGGTACCAGATTTAATCTTTTAGGACTCTAACTTCTACAGAAAAGTGTTTTTTTTTTTTTTTACACAAGAAGCATATATTTAGTTGCAGTCAGGCTAATAAAAAGGATGTTTTCCTTGAGACAGGTTTATAAAACTTACCATCCAGAGGATGGAGCCACTGGGCTGCTCTACTTGTTGAGAGCCACTCCATCGAGATTTCACTGTGGCCAAGCCGAAGTCACCGATCTTTACAGTCCAGCCCTCGTGGAGAAAAATATCTGACAGCAAAGTTCAGGAAATGTTTTCACGTTATGTGGTAATAATTCATAGCACCACACAAACTGAGCAGGAACCTGAAAGATGTGAGAGACAGAGAAAACTAACAAACTTTAAACCATGTGCGCTATAAAATGTAATAGAATATGAGAAAAAATATTTTTATATTCAGTTGTTTGCACCATGATTTTATATGTACACAAATAAGTCTGTCTGCACAATTCCTGAAATTCATGATTCAACATGAAATAATGCAACAGCTTTCCTTTATATATACATAAGTGCAGAGTAAGTACAGCATTTCCCTACCATTCTCCAGAGTGCCCCTTTGTTATACAAAGTTTACGTTGTATTAAATGCTAATTTGTCTGGAGTGTTATCATTACACAGACCTGATGTGATCAAACTCTTGTTAACAGAGAGCGAGCTGCTGGGGGTCAGCTGCTGTGGGAGCGTGCACAGGCTGCTTGTCTGTGGGACTTGTTTTCTGCTGCTTTAGTTCTTAGAAACAATTATTAACACCAAAACACATATTCAGTGTTTGCATGTGCTGCTTGTTTATATCTAGAAGCATATTGCAGTAACTGTACTGTGATAACTATAATTCAATAAATAATCACATATGAGAAATAGTATTAAATGGTTTTAAATATAGTCCATTTGAATAGAATAAAGTCATTTAAAAGAAGAACTTTGTGTCCATCTAGCAAAATAATGGCAATTCTGAAGTTATTTTGTCCACCTGTGCTGTAATTTGGTAAATGCATCACCTTTTGAGAATAAAGTTACAAAGAAGCAAAACACCCATTCAGTGTCAGGTTTTAGGGGTTTTACTCCTGTACAACATTTTGACAAGTAAACATTCATATTATGAGGGTTGCTATGTTTAAAATATTCCTATTATGAGCTTTTTTGTTGCCAAAATGACCTGAACATTAAAAACTGCCTCATTTATTGTCATTTATTTTTCATCATTTATTAAATTGCATTTGTTTAAAAATATTTCAACACACCTACAAATAAAAAATAAAATAATATTAAAACTCTTGTGTTTTTTTTATACCAAGAGATTCTGGAAATGTTTGAGGAGCCCAAAATAAAACACAGCTGTGAGAAACACTGCACTTTGTAAAGAAATCATCCAATAAATAAAATTAATTAAATGTACAATCCATGTTATCCTCCTCCTTCATCAAATGTTAAATTTATTTTTATTAAAAGCTACACCTAAACTCAAATTAATTGTCAAGTTCATTATTTTCAAGGCCATAAACTCAGAGGAAAGACTGAAGCACGTTGCTGTGTGAACCTTTGCTTATTATAAACAAATGGTTTCAGATTGTGGTTGGGCCTTTACAAGCTCAACTCAACTTTATTTATAAAGCCCTTTAAGACAACCACAGCTGCAACAAAGTGCTGTACGTATATAAAACAAAAACATGAAAACACAAGACAACGATTAAAAACACTAAAACCAGTAATAAAACAATAAAAATAAAATAAAAATAGAATAAAAAAGTCTCAAGCTGTGCCAAAAGCCAGAGAGTAAAAGTGTGTTTTTAAACAAGTTTTAAAAATGGACAGTGAACAGGCTTGTCTCACAGAGTGTGGAAGACTGTTCCACAATTTTGGAGCAGCAACACAAAAAGCTCTGTCTCCTCTCAGCTTACGTTTGGACCTCGGCACCTCTAGGATCAGCTGACCTGAGGCACTGAGCAGGTGAGTGTGGGTGAACCAGCTCAGATAAATAGGGTGGGGCAAGACCATTCAGACTCTTAAAAACAAATAAAATAACCTTAAAATTAATTCTAAAATGAACAGGTAGCCAGTGGAGGAAGGCCAGAGTTGGGGTGATGTGCTCCCTCTAGCTGCAGAACTCATTTCAAATCTGTGGTTATTTAAAATAGTCAGACTCAACTCTCTCTCACACACTTGAGCCCCTTTCATAAGTCAAATCCACGTAATCGCCGCACAGAGCAGTCCGGCTTTAAGCCTCCTCGGGTCATTCATAAGACCACAGGTGAAGGCGGGCAGGTCCCACTCACATGTACGTGTTCATAAATGAACCCGCAGCGCAGATCCAAAAGAGGCGTGGAGCAGAACTCAACTGAGCTGAACGAGCGACGTATTTATTGTGGGACAGACGCCTGCTGCCTCGTATCAAACAAAACAACTGAATTAACTCACTTTAGTGATTCTGTGGCGGTTAAATATTTTTAAACTAATTATACAATGTTGCTATTTCGTGTCATTTTTAACATTCCCCCAGTAAGCCGCTCACTGGCTGCTGCGTCATATCAAAAAAGGACAAACGAAATCAGCTCATTATAGCGAACGTGTAGCTCAATTTTTTATAAACTGACACACACGCACACACACGCACACACACAACTCCTCCTCCGCTGCCCACTGGCTCTGCGTTATCAGAGAGGGGAAAAAAAAGAATGAAACTAACTTTAAAATTTGCTGTTTCGTGTCATTTTTAATATTCCCTTGTTAATAAATCTGTTTGTTGATTAATCCTGCGGTCGCTCACAGATGTCATCATATTCTGAGCACGGATCCGCAGGATGCTTTTTCACAACTGGGTCTGCCCGGCTCGGGTCCGGCTCTGATACTACCTTTGCTCGCTGGGTGCATCATAGGCGAGTAAATTTTACTCGCCTATCCGCCTTCGTGTTTTTTCTGAATGCTCGTTGGGAGGACTGAACATGCATCAGGACCGGACTGGGCTGTCTTATGAAAGGGGCTATGGTTTCTTCATATTACCTTGAAAAAAAAAGGATACTGTTTGATTTCAGATCTCGATGAATTATATTCTTTGCATGAAGGTAACTGTAGGGAAGAAACAAAATAGATATGAATTAAAATTAGATTAAAAGCATCTATAACAACATTTATTGCACGTATTTTAGAAAGACTCGGAGTCAGTTTGTACTTTCAACAAATCAAATCTTTGCAGCTTTGGTTACAGCAAACCCAGACAACCGAGTTCAGAAAAGGGGCCATCTGCCACAGGTCTCTACCCACTTTCATCCATTTTATGTGCAGTGTATTATTATTGCCGTGGTTAGACCAGAGCAAAGAACCAAAGAAGCAAAGATCTGAATGAGCAGTGACCAAATCTTTGTTGTCATAGTTCTGCCTGCTATTAAAAATTAAAACTTTAGGTCCTGCATGTGTGTTAATCAAAGGCTAGAGATTAGATCCAATCACAAACAATGTTTATTCTGAGATATATATTTACATTTAGTCAACTGACATAGCCAATATATTAACAAAATGACGTAAGACACCATGAAAGTACCTGCATGTAGCAGTTTTAGGTTGTGTCACACCAGGCTAAAGGGCTCTAGACTAACTTTTTGCACTGGTCGCACCGGTGCGCCTAATATTTTTCTTTAGGTGCACCATACCTCTAAATAGGGTTGGGCATAATCGTATCGTGTGCAATTAATCATCAGAAAAACATTAATCGATTACTTTTTGGCACTTGACGATTAATACGATTAATGCCACCAGGCAGAGATCACTCGCTGCTCCTCTCTGCTTCAAATATGATGCACATTTTTTTAAAACAAGTTCTGTAATTTATTTATCTATCAACACAATTTAAAATTTGATGTATAGCCTTAAGTCTGTAACTTTGAYACAATTTGGAACAGATTTGTATGAAGAGCAAATCTTTCTCACTAAATTGGTCATGTGACCAGGACATAAGGGTGTCCAGGGACTCCAGGGGATTAATTGTCAAATTAATCGTTATCGACTAAATACCACAATTAATCGTGATTAATTTTTTTTGCCAATATTGCCCAACCCTACCTCTAAACGTAACTAGTAAAGCACAGCAGAGCTGCAAATAAAGTGAGGACCGGGAAAATGTCTAAACTGTCCCTAGGTGTGAGTGAGAGAGTGAATGGTTGKTTGTCTCATTTGTCTGTGTCCTTGTGATGGTCTTGTGACCTGTCCAGGGCGTACCCCACCCCTCGCACTGTTACTGCTGGACATGGGCACCAGTGACCCCCGTGACCCCGAAAGGAAGAAGCGGGTATAGATTATGGATGGATGGATGGTAAAAAAAAAAAAGCAAATGAAACCATTTTTAATCATAAAGAAAAAAAATTGTATAGGTCTTCTGGACGGGTTCTTCTCTAATGAAACGTTTCGTCTCTCCTCCAAGAGACTTCAGTCTGAGAGTTTCAGGCAAAATTCAGGCTTTTAAGCACTGCCTCCATGTGACTGATACTCACATCACATGGCTATCGTTGACACCTAATTAACACCACATTCTTAATCATGAAAACTAGGCTCCAAGGTCAAAGCTGGTCACTTTTTGATAGCAACATGTGCTACATTATGAACCATAATGGGCTAGGCTTGGGCAGTATGAAGGTATTTTGTTATACCGCGGTATCAAAATATGACAACGGTATAAAACAAATTATGACTGTACAAGTCATGTGAGGCCGAAGCACATATGAACTCTGGGACAAATAGAAGACGCCACATGTTACTGATGCATGTTCTGATTCAGTGTTGTTAAACACCTATCTCTGGTTGTATACATGTAAATGCTCACAATCAGCCGTTTTTCCTTTAAGCATTAATTACTCAACACGCTACAGCCCACAGCAGGTGTGTGGTGGATTTTTTTACAATTATAAATGGGAGCAAACAAATTTGAAGTTCATTCTTTTTGACCCATTAACGAGAAAACTGAGACAAAATGACAGTGAGTGTGAGTGGTTAAAAACAATCTTGCAGAGGTCTTACTCCATGCCCTGTGCTGTCTGTCTAGCCACATCAATGCGACGCATGGTGTCAAACTTGGTTTCTGTGACATGCAGATGGTGGTACAGGCTGCTCCCTTCACACCACTGGGTGATGATAGCAAAGTTGGGCTTAGTCATGAAGCCCATGAACAGCAAGATGTTGACGTGGCGGGTTTTCCTGCAGAGCACACAAATGGTAAAAAGGTTACAAATTCCACTGAATGGTGTTTCAAGAGTGAAATGATTTGAAGTACCGTATTTTTCGGACTATAAGGCGTGACTTTTTTCCTGAACTTTGAACTATGCGGCTTATAGTCTGGTGCGGATTATACGTGGATTTTTTTCTTCAGCCACCAGGGGGCTCTTACGCTGCATTTGCTTCAACCRCTCGCTTCAAAATAAAAGAAAGGAAAAAAAAAAAGGGAAGAAAAAAGCGATCGCTTCCAGAGCCGAATGTTGTACCAGAAAGCAGCGATTTAAAGATGGTCAATGGCCAAAAACTCAAAAGGGGATTAAACAGACATTTTTCGCAGTGGAATCTGACTGATAAAAACTTTGGAGCTTAATCCAGGACCAGTTTGTGGATAAACGTTGAGTGAAGAGCCGCTGACTTTTTTTTTTCCCGCATTGCACTCCCCGGGAAGGAATCCCATGCAGTGACGTATGCTGGAGCAGGAGGGCTTTCCCAGCAGCTAGGCTCGGGGTTTCTCGGGGGAACTATGAAAGGTCAGTGC